GGTAATTGAAAAAGATGCAAGGCAGGAAACGCGATAGACTTTATTAATTACTTGAAAACTTGCTTTTGAATAATCTTGTGTTTGTCGAAATGGGAATTATTTTTCTTTGAAAATACTGAACAGTTTTTTTAAATTTAAATTTACATGACTTTTTCGGTAGCTCTTTCAGAAAGCATAGAACTTCATTTCATAGCCTGACGCCGATTCTTAAAAAAGCACTTTTTTTGTACCACAAGGTTTAAGGGTTTTTAGAAAAATATTATTAGAAGTAGCAAAACTTGCCTTGTAGAATGGGCTTATGATGTTTCCGCAAACAAACTACGCATGTTCATTGAATCTGAGTAAATGTTAAGATCGTGCATCATTTCAGATAAATTTTGATTATGCAAAAAGAGTAGAGTTAGAAGTTTAATGTTATTAAACGGAGGGATGGTGTATTCATTTATCTTTGCAAAATATATGATACGATGTGTCCGTTTTGGAACTGTCCAAATTTTACACTGAAACGGGTCTTGTGATGCGGCTAATGTGGTTAGACGGTACTATAACCTTATGATAACGAAAACAAAGGTTTCAACGAACGAGAATCCAATGCAAACATAACAGTCGCGCAATGGGTCCGTTATAATTTTCATATTGCCAGTCTTGTTTTTGCTTTGCCCAATCCTAACTTGCCCGATCTTAACCGCCAAAGTATGAAATTTGAGGAAAAAACTCATTTTGAAAAGAGTCAACAAACCGAGGGTACATACTTGGTATGCGGGAACTGTTTCGCGTAATTCAATATAATTCGTTAGTGAAGTGAGAAATAGTGAAGTTGGTCAATTATTGACAGCTTGCTTATTGTCACCTTTATAATTATAAGCTAGAGACCAACACTTTCCTAGTGAGAGTGGAGTTAGTCCCCGAGCTAGCACGTTGTATTGGGTTTTTAAGAGGGGAAATAAAGAAAGTAACAACTGTGCAAGGAGTGTTAGAAATTCATCCAACAACAGGCATAAATGACGCCAAATTTGATATGTAATTGCAACTTTTGTTTTGTTATATGACACCACTAGATTCCAGGTTGTAGTGCGTCTACAGTGCGTCTTCCAAAAGGAATATGATTGCTCTCCTTTTAAAATAAAAATTTCAAATGAAAAATTTAGACCTAACCAAGACGTACGGGCTACGCTCATTTGTCCCAAGACTCTGACGCCCAAATGTTTCCCGAAGGTTCCTGTAATACGAAAACTGACACCTATATTAATCTCGACGCATTTTCATTAATTTTATTCCATTCGATCTTAAATTATACTCTAACATATTTTACCCTCAAGAACCCGCTTAACACGCCAATACAAAAAGAAACGACTAGATCACATGATAAGTTGTGTCGGGTTCTTCGTGTCACCACCTTGATACACCTAGCCTCTATATAAATACACGTAGACTCAATTCTGACTACATTTACTTAATTTGCATATTCCATCCTCCATTAGGACTTATCGTATTAACTACAAACGGTTCTTGATGGATCGATGTTACCTCAAAAAGAAAGAATGATCAAAAATTCAGCAAAAACTAGAGATCAATCTCGGAGTTTTTTTTTCTTCAAACAGTTCTGGAAAGATTGTAGTAGCTCTTTTGTTCATCATTCTTAACCCTTTCACTCCCAAGATCTGGTCAGTAATTCTCCTTTCCGTCTTCTATACAATTCTTATGATGTTAGCTCAGATAATTTGTTATTGGATCAACTACTAATCCCTTTATTGATATTTGTCTTTTTTCTCATCACTTGTCTGCTTGATATTGTATTGATCTCATAAGGAGAAATTCTTTTTTGGTAAGCCATGGGAGTTCAGGGATGAAACAGAGGCTGCCTTCATCCCACGCAAGTGGCAGGTGTTTTAAGGTCTGACAATTTTCTTCGTGTAACAAATATACAACGCCTAAAGCAACAAATATGCGATATTATCGCTATAATGGTTTTCCAAAAGTTCTTGTTTCGAAACACAGTACTTTTTGAATTGATGAAATTTCAGTGAGAAAATAAAATAACATGATAGGTAAGCTATTCATCTCTATCGAGACGTCTTTTGATAATATTTAACCCCAAAGGTCCTCTTAACAACGAAATGAAAATGACTAATGCAGAGCACAAACCTACGACGTAGCCTGAATGGAGTTCTAAGTATCGTCATCCCAACATGCCAAAAATTTGCACAGTTGGAGTTCTGAGAACTAACCGTTAAGAGTAAAATCCTCTATTTTAAACTGTTAGCCGTGAGAATAGAAATTAAAGAAAATAATTACAAAGTGTCATTTTGGAGCTGTTAAAATCTTAAAATAACATGGGTATTCATTACCTTGTAGCTAATGTGGTTACGAAGGTATCTGCACTAATAACGAAAACAAAGACATTTGGCACAGGTCCGACGGAATCATATTCCTGAATAGGGAAGTGTGGAATGAGTTGACAGAGAGATGGATAGTTTGCTTTAGGATCTTCAGTTTGTTCATTCAGTGTATGACTGGTGGCTGTCCTGAAAGGCATAATTAGTTTACATAGCTGAGGAGGAAACGCCAATTGAAGTATTTGAGGCAAGAATTAAAATTGGACAAGAACACCACTCTATTTCAGCATTCAAAAGAAATCTGATATATTTTCTCAGTCCTAACTACAACGCCAAGAAGTTCAAGCTAACGTCATCTTATCTTACCACTACGCGAAAATCAGCCAGAAAAACAGACAATTGCTCTATATCAACCCAACAGCAACCCGCTAGTCTCTTATGGTGAGTAAACGCGTTTGAAAACAATGACTATTGATAAAAAAATTTTTTATTTAATTGAAATCATTTTTAACATTTCATCAACCGTCACGGAAAGAAATTAAGCACTAGCCAAAAAATGGCTACAATTTTAACCGTGAAGCGTAAAAGGCATATCCTTATAGTGACCTTCACAGTCGTGATGGTGAAGAATTTAGTCTAATCTTCTTCAGTCTATAATTGAGAGAGTTAGGGAGTTTTAAATTTATTTCAATATTTATTTTCCTCCAATTTTTAAAAGCGTTACACTGCGAAGAGCTGCTCTGACTTAATTCAGGAAAAACTAGGTTAAAATGGAGGCCTCCATAGTCGGGGTTTGTCATCCTTTTTTTCTTGCACAATGTGGAATATGCCCTGAAATAACACAAGTAAATAACCAAAGCTCTTAGCAGGCAATTTAGCAGAACTACCATCGAATGTTGCTTATGTGCGGAGGTTTCCTAATCATGTAGTTTTTCCCGATTTGGAATTCAGTCAAAAGATGATCAAACTAAATAGACGACTAAGCGGATGTTTCGTTAGATCGATATCATGAGCGAACTTTAGTGAAAACTATTCAACATCTTTGCCGTACCCGTACATGAGTTTTCATGTAGAGAACTTTTCAGGGATTAAACGAACAGTATTTCATTACTCGGTATTATTATCTTCTTGAAATCTCGTAAACGTTGTTCAAAGTTTAAGGAAAATTAAAATTCTTTTTGTTTCTTCCTCAATTTAATTCTTCCTGTAACCTGATCCCTGGTGGAAAAGTTTACAAAAGGATATTGGGGAGTGGCAGCTTCTAAGGTGGCAAAATTTCTTTTTCTTCAATTACCCATGATTTTATTTATGAAAATGTTCCACAAATAATTCTTTTCCTCTTGCTTCAAATTTCTTTGGAACGTAAAAACTGCCAGTCTACATAAGATTTCTTGTTCAACATGATACTTTCTCTCGCAGTTATTTACAGCATGTTTTTATTTACATATTTACTAATCACGAATCTTTGGACTTTATCAGCCTTTCATGTTCATTATGAATTTTCCAATACTCTACCCTTTACATCACTCATTAGTTCTCTCATTAGTTCACTCATTATCACTTAGCAGTGTGGAGTTAATGAAAATGTTCATCTTGTTTTCGCAGGTGTCATAAATCTGATATGCTTCTCGTGGCTGGTCGACAAGCTTCATTTTTTATCGTGCTATTTTTCATTTCTCAACTGTTCCGTGACAATGCCAGTCAGCAGTGTGGAGCCGGCGGCGACCTATACTCCATTTACCAAATGATGCTCAAGGGCCACACTTACAAGTCGTTCAAGACTGCACCGGGTACTCTAGAATGCAGAGAAGCTTGTCTTGCTGATGTCAAATGTCAGAGCTACAACGTCGTTATGTTTATTGCAATATGCGAGTTAAACAACCGATCTAAAGAGGCCAGACCAGAGGACTTTGTCAAGAACAAGGACAGATACTACATGGCGAAAGGTCCAAAACGAGGTGATAGAAAATGCAAAGATTTAAAAGAAGTATTACAGTTAAGGAGGGGGGGTGGGAAGGGGACAAGGGGGCAAGGAGGGAGAGGGGGGCGACATTCAACTGATAGCTCGATATGCGAGCGCAACTTAAAATGTACCCAATATGATGCTCGGCATTGTCTGACACATATCCTTACAGAAGTATCAATAGACTGCCAATTATAAAGTAAGTCATATAAACATTCCACACAAAGTATATCTTAAAGGTGATGTAAAGAAACAATATGGGTAATCTGACTTTCGTGGATTTTACGCTGTCAGCAATGAATCTTTCTTACTCTTATTCTGCTAACATTAATTGCTTCAATTGCAGTTCCTCTCGGATCAATTCGTGAGTTGCCCGCGGAATCGTGCAAGGAGATCAAGGCGAGTGAAGGAGGAAAGGCGGTCAGCGGTAATAATTATTGGATGGATTCAACCAGATCTGGTAACTCTATTTTAGCTGGCTGTGACATGAAGACTGAAGGTTGGTACAAGACATGGTTCTTAGAATTTTGTTGCCATGCCAATGAGAAGACTTTTCTTAATCGATATTCTTTGTCCTTAGTTGCAGACTATTGTGTCAAACATCAGTGCCAAAACGATGCGAAGTGTGTGAACCGTGACACGAACTACATGTGTGTGTGTAATTCATCTGGCTTGACAGGAAAATATTGTGAAAAAGGTTCGCCTTTTGTTAAAATCGTCCCCCATTTTTAGGAGTATGTTGAACAAAGAAGATGGGGGATGTTTAATTAAAATATGCTTATCCATAGATGTTAACGAATGTGTGCAAGGTCTACATAGTTGTCATCCCAACGCAATTTGTAATAACACTGTGGGTTCCTACAACTGTATATGCAGACCAGGATTAATTGGAGACGGAAGAAACAGCTGCATAAGTACAGGTAAGGATGGAAACCACTTTGTGTGGAGACGTTGTTCGAGGGATAAGCTAGAAATTACTGCGTACGATTGTACATTTGACTACTACACTAGTTGAGTATTTCTTTTTTTGTTAATTGTTCCACAAATCGCCCAAGAATTATGCACTTTTGAACAACAATCATCATTTTATCGATTGTGACTGATATTGCCAGTCAGAATTACCTTAAAAAAAGGATGCGTTTCGTTTCTGGTCAGGGAATTCTAGAATTAAAAGAAACTCGAGGAAAAACAAGAAGTGGGAAATGGCGACTGCCTTCCCTTATCATGTGCATGTATAGTCCGAAAGAATATTTCTCTACGAACGAAGAGCAGAATCTCAACAATTATTTCCAAATAGTCTTTAACTGGCTGTGTTCAATCAGTTAACTCACATTCGTGGGAAGATTATGCCTTTCATTTAGGAAAAAACCGCATTTCCTTCTTTAGGTCATTCTTGTAAGGAAATTCGCGAC